GTCCTGCTTCCAAACACTCCAGTCAGATCACTGAGGAACAGGAAAGGAATGCTGAGAGGTGCTGAGTGTTACTCTAGTAATATCCCCCCACATGGAGCCAGGAGCAGTAGGAAATAAAAGTCTCTCTCAACCCCAGACACACACACGCATGTGGATCAATTCTCGCACCAGGCTGTGGATGCTGGGGAGTCAGCTCTCAGGAGCCAAGCCACCAGAAAACCAGGGAGAAGGACAGCTTGAAGGACAAGCAAGAAAGGGAGGTGTGTTGGAGGATGGGGTCCGGGGAGCTGAGGGGCCGTGGTGGGGCAGTTGCCTGCGTCTGGGGTTGACTCCTCAGGCTGACCATGAAACCAGCAGTGGAACAGCAGGTGATGAACAGGATAGTAAAGGAAAACGTTACATGGAAAACTTAAAGGGAAAATGGGGAGATGCTGAGAAGAGCATTGAGGTGCTACTGAAAGTATATTTAAGAAACATTGAATTAGTTTATGTCCCTCGTGGTCCAAAACGAATCTGCAGCGGCCAAGATTTGTATGTGAATAGGCATTACACCGTAGGGAGTGTGTGGCTGTGGGTACGGAGCCGTGGAACCGCAACACAAGGCTAGATTTCTGCATACAAAAGATCGTAAGGGATAGCATTCCAAATGCATGAGAATGTCTCTGACCACCGATCATAGCTTGAAGTAGGGTGCACAGCTCCAAGGTTGATCAAGGGATAAAATTAGAACCTCCCCTACCCTCGGTTCTTCTTCTTCTTTTTTTTTTTTTTTTTTTTTTTTTTTTGAGGCGGAGTTTCGCTCTTGTTACCCAGGCTGGAGTGCAATGGCGCGATCTCGGCTCACCGCAGCCTCCGCCTCCTGGATTCAAGCAATTCTCCTGCCTCAGCCTCCTGAGTAGCTGGGATTACAGGCACGTGCCACCATGCCCAGCTAATTTTTAGTATTTTTAGTAGAGACGGGGTTTCACCATGTTGACCAGGATGGTCTGATCTCTTGACCTCGTGATCCACCCGCCTCGGCCTCCCAAAGTGCTGGGATTACAGGCTTGAGCCACCGCGCCCGGCGGTTCTTCTAAATGAAGACAACTGCCCTGGTCCAGAGCCTTGGGGATTTAAAAAGCCCTGGGATCGAAGACTTTTTTTCTCATGATTTGCCTGGGCATTTTGTTTTTAGTTTGAATTGGCCCTAAGTATCTGACTCTTTGGAAGACAGAGGTAGATTAAAATAGCTTATTATAATAGCAAACATACACTGAACATCCCCTATGGGCCAGGCACTATCTGGAGTGGTTGGATGTCCCAACTCACCGAAAAAAGTGCAACCCTGAGTCTGCACTTTTGATAGCTGTGTGTTATTGATCATGAAAGAGACTCTGAGAGGCTCAACAGCTTGCTCAAAGTCACACAGCTAGTAGACAGCAGAGCTGGAAGGCAAACGCAGGTGTCTGACTCCAGAAGCTTCCCTCTGCATCATAAATGGAGCAGAAAGGAGGATGAAAGCTCACTTGGCCCAACCTGGAGCTTTTCCATGTGAAAGGAGCAGAACTGTGTGTATCAAGCTAGTTCCGAACCCAAATTCTACAGTTGGGTTCTTCATTGAGCTGGACCTGCAGGGAGACTTCACTGCCTTACCCAAGCAGGTCAGGCGTGGTTTCCTACTGCCAGACCACAAGGTAGAATGTCCAGGCAAAGGCAAGACCATTGTGCTTCTGATCATCCTCAGAAAGTGTGTGGAGCGCTCCATGGAGTTCTAGGTGGATGTACAATTACTTGCTCATCTCTGATGACCCAGGGCGAAGACTGAGGCTAGGGAGGACCTGATGCAGAACTCCAAGAGCTCAGCACTGTCAGGCAGTTCGTTCAGTCGTTCCCCAAGTATTTATCGAACTCGTACTCACGCCCATGCGTCCTTTCTTTTCTTGTCGTTACTCTGTGCAGACACCCACTACCAGGTTCCCAGAAGGTCCTGCCTCTGTGGGCCCAGGCACCTCCATGGCAGCTCCTCCACCTTCCTTTCCTGTACCCAGCAGCCTGGACGGGAGGGGCCCTCACTGACACATGGGGCTGTCTTTGTTCAGCAATGCTTGGAAGCACTAGTGAGTTCTGTATTACCGCCCTTTCGGCAGGGGCGGCTGGAGTCCCTGGAAGAGACTAGTTCCAAGCCTGCTGGGCCACGGGGACCCACCCCAAGCACCAGCCATCAGCTTTGTCCCTCCAGCCTCGGGAGAAAACCTTTGATTTCATGGGGATGATTATTTTTATTCTTGCCCACTCAAGGATGAAGCCCAAGAAACAAGAGGTTGCGCCTTTCAGAAGCATCACAATGGGTTACCTCCAGCCAAACCCACTGGTTTTTTTGTTATTTCTAGGTTTGGTTGGGCCTCTCTTGGAAACCATTGCTATACAACTTACTTAAAGAAAGTGGGGGCATTGGGCATAAGAAACCCAGACGGAGACAGGAGCGGGGCTGGAGCGGGGCTGGGGCTGGGGGGCTGGAGGTCATGTGTTGTCAGAGACGGTGCGGGAAGAACACATTAAAGTCACAATCTGATTTGAATCCATTCAATTTTTTATAGTGACATTTTTAATCTTTTGCAAAGCTGAACTATTCCAAGTTTGACTTTTAGCCAATCCTGGAGAATTGGGACTTTGGATGAAGGTTTCAGAAAAAGACACAAAACATACACACGTATACACACACACACACACACACACACACACACACCCCACACGGGGCAGGGTGGGGGGAAGAGAGAGAGAAAGGGGGAAAGAGAAAGGGGAGGGAGACTTTTATCCTAAAGTCATTGTAAATCCAAAGCAGGGTTTTATCCTCCACAGTTAAATGAGAAAGGAAAAAAATCAAGAATACCAACATTTGAGGTACAAAGACTGTCATGGACCAGTGGAAGTCTGCAAAATTATATGTAAATGACCGCAGTTTTTCCTGTGGTGGCCCTGTGCATTCCCAAAGCTAATCCCAAAGAGAAAATCTACTTAGCAAAAGAAAGTTTTGTCTAATTTGGTTAACAGTTGAGAAGTGACAAAAATGCTGAATATATTAATAATTTATATTTCCAGGGTAACACTATATCTTTAATGCTTCACTGCTGAAGGGAATTCAGATTGGCTTAGTGCTCACAGAAAAAAACTCTGAAAGGCCTTCTTCATATTCTGTATCCAGCACTGATGAAAATGGGTGTAAGACATGTGTTCCAATAATAGGCACCATCCATTCTCCCCATTTCTGCATAATTTGTTTTTATCCCATATTGCTCAATGTATATTTGTTACCCGGGAGGGCCGCCTGGTCTCACACTCACTTCCATGCTCGGCTCTACCACTTGATAGAAAGGAGAGAGCTCACATTTTATAGATATTTCAAGAACCTCTGACATGCAAGACCTTTTCTAAAGTTTATAGATTTTTCTTGGCAAAACATATACGTGGAAGTTTCACTTGACAGGCAACGTAATGAGGGCTTCTTTTTTTTTTTTTTTTTTTGCCTGTTTGTCTATAATGAAGTTTGACGGTTTACAAATTGCAGGTCATCCCATCCCATGACCTCAGCAAACAGTCTAGGTCAGAGCTTTCTTAAACCCTGTCCAGAGAAATAGAATAAGTTAATTTACAGTCCTCTAGCGGATCTGAGAGAAGGCAAATCACCACAGTTTAGATAAATGGCCTCTGGAAACAGAAAAACGTGCTACCTAATTTCAAATTATTTATTTAAAAGGCATTAAAGTTTATGGGGGAACAAAAGTTCAAAGACAAAACTTAAACACCCACAAACACAAATTTAGCCAGTTGGATACCTTGTTGATTTTACCTATTTACATAAAACAACCTGGAGCCCTGTTTTGCCCTTTCAGTCTTAGAGAAACAGGATTTTAGCTTGCCGTTTTAGACGTACCGACGTATCACTATTTTGTGGGCAAGGCACAGAAGCACTGAAACTGAAAATCACAATCCCCTGAAAGACCACTAGCCAAGTCACTCCTGGATTCCAAACTTTCCTCACCACGTTGTGGATGGATCGGGATGGAAAAAAAAAAAAAGAAAAAAAAAAAAAATCCCACCAGGGAAAGGATAAGGAGGCCTTTTCTCTCCAGGCCCGAGAACTGAAACGGAGAGCCCAGGGTTCCATCCTGCACCAGTGGGCGCAATGCAGAGGATGGCGGGGAGGGAGCAATCCCCTGAGGGGTGGCGAAGGGGCGTCTCCCAACCTGACGGTTGGCAGTCTCTCGCCTAGTCGCCCAGCGCCCCCGAAGCCGTCCTGATCTGTGCGCACAAGGCAACGCCAGCTTCTCGGAAGCTCTGGCACTGAGTTGTCATCTGACGTTGTTTCTAAGCCGCAACTCAGAACTGTACTTGGTTCCCGTATTTTTTAGAGGTCTGTTTTGTAACCTCAGCCACGCACCGGGCCTGCCAGGGCTTCGCCGCATTCCAGACCCGCGGGCGTGCGGCGCGCGTGGGTGGGGCACTTCCCTCTGGGTAGGAAGCGCGCCCAGGTCGCAGCTGCAACAACCCGCCTAAGCCACTTTGGGGCAGGTCTTTCAATCTGCATTTTCCTGAGAGCCAAGTGCAGCGTTCTTCGCCTCCCCTCTTTCTCTGAGGCTAATGCTCAAGATGCGCGCGGGGCGGGCCCAGGGAGCCGCGAATCCCGCCTTTAAGCGATACCTAGAATATTTGCCTGAACCTCCAGTGAACGTCCCCCTCCCTCAGACTCCTCAGCGGGCCCCTCACCAAATTACTGAGGGCTGTTACCCTGATCCCTGTCAGCGATGCGCCCTTGGCACCGCGGAGGGGATGGGTTGCGGATGAGCAGAAGGTAATAAATAAATCCCTCTCTTTGGGTCTTTATCAGAAAACGTTTATTACCGGGGGAAATCCTTCAGAAGACTCATTCGCTCTTTGCCTTCCCCCCACCCAGTTTTTTGGGGGGCACAATATTTACACAATATTTGTACAATATATACAGCATTTCTCCTAAGCAGCACCTAAAGCGCAGAGAAATCTGGCGGGCACGAGTGGGCGTCAGAGCACCGGAGGGTGCTGGGGCGTGTGCAGGTTAAGGGCATTGGTGTGCGCGTGGCCGATCCGGTTGAGGTAATGCCGGTCCAGACACTGCACCGGCGTCAGGAACGGGCTGTGCTGCTGCGCTGGGCTCGGGAGCGGCACCGCCGCGCTGGGCAGGTAGGGACTGCGGGCCGCGCCTGGTGGCCAGGGGAAAGACCCGGGACCAGAGCCCTGCGGGAACACAGCGGCCTCCCCGGGGCTGTGGCCCGCGAACTCGGGCCCCGCAGGGTGCAGCTGATAGGAGAAATCCGGCTCCGGGAGTGAACCCAGCGGCTGAAAGGCAGGCTCCGCGCCCAGGCGGGACTTGGACTGTAAGAAGGCGAGGATGCGCGCGTACTTGGTGTCCTTGGTCTCCATCCGCTCCACCGTAGTGAGGTAATGCACCAGGTTCTTCATGCACTCGTGGTAGCCATAGTGGAAGTAGTTGGCAAACTCCGCTAGAAGTTCTGCTGGAGGAAGAAGAACGCCCGTAGGAAGGACACACCCTGAGCGCCCCTTCGCCACGGGAGCCCAAGGCGGGTACAGGGCCCCTCCCATCACATTTTCAGGCCAAAAGTTCCCATTTGAGGCCTGCCCTCTCCTCTGCGCAGTCTTAGAGACTGGCAAAGCAGGCGCAAACGGCCCCTTTCCCTGAGAGCCTGACCCCACTCACCCCACCCCGGAGGAGGCGATGGCACCAGCCTCTCTGGAAACCAGTTCTCCCTCGCCGCCTCGCAGTCGCCGGGCGGGGAGAGGACCCTGCCCTCCGGGAGAGCCGAGCTCCAGTAGAGCTCTCGGGAACGTTCCGTCACTCCCCTCCCAGCCCCCAGGTCTCTGGGTGGCGCAGGCGCCCGGCCCAGGCGTCCCATTCCCTAACCTGCGCCCACCTTTTTCCCTTCCCCGGGGAAAATCAGCAGAGTGCAGTGCTCTCAGATACTGAACGGTCATCTCGAGGATCTCCGCCTTCTCCAGCTTCCCAGAACTCTGCAAAAGGAGGAAGAGCCCCTCTCAGCGGTCCAGTGCCTGCTGGGTGGGCACTGTGGATCTGGAGAGGACCAGCGAGTGGGCGCGGCTGCGGATCTGCGCCAGAGCCGCCTGAGGCTCGCCCGGCACTCAGGCCCCCTGGGGAGGGGCCCGCAAGTGAGGTGGTCTGCCACAGCAGGCTCCGGTGTCTCCGCAGAGTGGCTGCAGAGGCCTCCCCAGCGCCTGCGGCACCCAGCTCCGGGCTGCCAACGTTACCTGCTTTGCCAGGGCCATGGGCACCGTCTTGCCCAGCTCGTTCAAGCAGCGGTTGATCCTGTCCCTCCTCCGCTTTTCTATCACTTTATGAGAAACGGGGGTTCTCTGCGAACAGAGGGTTGTACGTTTAGGATGGCTTTGCCCGGGAAGTAGTCAAAGGCACGACTCTGGCAGCTGCGTGCTAACCGCCTCTCCAGTCGCGCACACTGCTCACATTCGCCCTGGGAAGGGACTCCCGGCCTGCCATACTCGGGTCAGTTGACCTCTGCCCTCTCACGCCCGCGCTGGCGCGCTCCCCTTCCAGCAACCCTACCCAGAACTCTGTGGAGATGGCCACCAGCCTCTGGGCTGACTTCTTCCTGGTTGATCACTCTCCTCCCTCGATCCCACCCCCTTCCCAAACCACTCGAGATTCCTCCAGACGCAAAGTCCCATGTGGCCACGTCCCTGCCATCGGTCCAGCCAAGTAGAGGGTCGGTGAGTCAGACGCCTCCACTACCAGGGCGCAAGTGCCACTTGGGCTCAGCCGACTCACTTTGCGTTCCTTGAGCTTGTCTGACATCCTGGTCAGTGCGCGCCCTCGGGAGAGGCGGTGGCGCGGGGCACCCGTCCACTCTTCCGCCTCGTGTGCCTCTTCGAGTGTCCCAGGTAGACTGCAGCCTCCAAACTCCGAGGGCTGCCTTATAAAGCGGTCATCTAGGGCTCCAAGTGCATTCACGAGCTGAATTATTCCATAGGATTAGGGGAGCTACGTTTGGAGGATGTATGCATTCAAGACCAGTTTTAAAGAAGTTAAGAAAAAAAAATTTAGCAGCCGAGGGGGGCGAGCTGGGGGCAGATCAGCTTTGTTAATCCACGTGGCCCTTCAAAGGACACGTGATCGGCCCGGGAGTAACATTTGCATGGCAACAGCCCCGGCGGGAAAAGGAGGCGGTAAACTGGGGCCGGCGGGCAAGCGAGCGCTTGCAACAGTCGCGGGCGCGGAGCGCAGGGGCGCAGCGGCCCCGGGCACCGGGGGGCGAGGACCCTCACAAAACAGTGTCGCCTCTTTTAGTCCCACCGCTGAGTCTCACACGATCGCCTGTTTACAAATCCCAGCAAGCCCGCCGTCCCAGCGCCGAGTGCGTTTTAAAGCCTGTCCAGAGTCATTAAAGTAATTAAGTAAGCCTTTAATAGGCTGTTCCGCCGGGTTCAAGGGAGAGCTCTTGGAGACGGAGGCGCCCCGTTTGTTCCCAGGCTTTTCTCACACGACTTGGTGACACGTCCTTCTCCCCCCTTTTTGTTTACACCGCTTTATTTGTCCGGACATCCCGGCAGGTGTGGGGCTGCGGCTGGCACACGAGGCTCCCGCCTCGCCTCGCCCCTCCCGCCGCTGTTTGGCACGCGACGCTCCCCCCTACTCCCTGACCACGTCGCTGGCTTTCTTTTCTCCCCCCTCCGGCTCCCTCTTCGCGGGGGGAAGAGGCTCAATTTGTAGCCTATTATCCTATACGAAAATGTCCATTGAAAAGTATGAATAGTTTCATTGGGCTAAATTTTAATAATGCCAGAGGGTGGGGGAGGAGAGACTGGCGGGCGTGTGTGTGTGTGTTTGTGTGTGAAGGGGGGGTGGGAGGATTGGGGGGCAACACGGAGAAGAGTGGGCCGAGAAGAAAAGGGGGAATGCAGCTGGCCCAGACGAGCATTATGCGACGTCACCTGCGAGAGGGGGCGCTTACAGACCTCTATTCATTTGCCTAATTTTGGTCAATTTAACAAACTTCAGGAGAAATTATTGTGGCTTTGTCAGGGAGGGTGAAGCCTTCTGATCGAATTAACAGCATGTTTTGATCCGGTAAATGTCATTAGAAAGGGAGAAACAATCGCGCTTAGAGGGCTCTGAGTAATGCGCCCAAGTGGAGACGCCAAAGCGCACGGCTCACAAAGGGAGCAAGTAGCTGCCACAGGGAACTTTTGTACCCGCCCATCGCCCAAGTTTTGACACAAAAAGGCATTATTTCATACTTGAATACGTTTAATCCAACGATTGTCTATTTTCTGCAAACATATTTTCACAGCATTGTTAACTTTTTATGTCTCCCTTTCGCGGGCGTCTTTTCTTAACGTTTGGGGGCGGGAGAGCGCAGACACTTTGGGCATCAATATTTGTCACTGAAAAGGGCCCCGTGAAGTTTGGGAAGTTGATCTCTTTTTTATGGTTTTAGAAAGCGAAAATATCGGAGGGAGGAGGAGGGAGGGAAGGCACGAACAGAAACGAGGGAGGAAATTTGCTGGACGGGCCCAAGGGGAAGGAGGGGGGCGGCGGCGGCTGGGAAGTCTCTGGGCCGCCTGCGCCTCTGCGGGCAGTCTGGCCCCGCCGCCGGAGGCCTCCTTCCCCGGGACGGGCCTTGCACACACTTGCGGCCTAAGATCCCACACTTTGGGGGCTCCGAGCTTGTGGGGTGTGGGTGGGCGTGAGCTTTCTTGCAGATGGAAACGATAAAAATGATTTTTGTTTTATGACCCTTTCTAGAGCCACCCAACTCTCACCCCTCTAATCTTTACCATTTGGAAACAGCTGAGACGGCTTCTTAGATTTGTCCAGTTTTCTGCCTGCCCCTGACCCTGTCTAAAGTCTCTCTACTCTGCAGGGCAGTGGCAGGGACCGGCGCCCACCTTGGGGTCATTAGACCTTGGCAGGGATGAGTAAGCGGCGCTCCTCTCGCTGGTGGGATCTGGGAGCCCCAGGGCGCAGAGCCAGGCCTCAGCGAAGCCATCTGCCCACCTGCGGAGGCCTGGGAGGTGTGAGGCTCGGTCTGCACCGCGCACCCCTAGGGTGTCCCTCTCGGTCCTGCCTCGTCTCCTCACTGCGTTTCTTTTCTGCTTCACGCCAAATTGGACACGATCCGCACCCTCCCAGGTTGCTCTGCCAGCCGCCGCGAGTGCACTCTCAGGGGTTGTGGATTTCAGGATATTCACTCTCACACAAAGGGATTAAACACGAACCCTTATCATCCAAATTAACTAACGTGAATGGGTAAAAGGGAGCGCGCACACTTCGCACTCCCACCCCCGTTTTTAAGCCAGTGGCCCGGGCGTTGATCCTCTTACTGCCGGTGTTAACCGCCAGCTGCAGGCACCTTCCACGGGCCAAATTTCATTCCATGCACACTGCTTAATTGCCCAGGTTTGGTCGCGGCGCTGGGCTCAAGGCTTGCCCAGGGGTAAAAGTTCCCGCATGCAGGTGAAGGGGGCGAGGGAAGGCAGGTGAATGGAGAAGTGGGCGCAGGTGCGCAGCCTCGCCAGCACTACCGCTTCAGGGTGGGGAAGGAAGCGTTTCCTTTTTCCCTTCCGGGCTCACAGGCCTGGGTCACTCACAGTGTCCCAGAGTGGGGCTCCTCAGAGCCGTCTTCCCTTTGCTCCTTCTGCTCAGGGTGATGATCAGGAGTTCCCTGACCCTGACGTAGTTCCATGCAAAACGACAGCAGAGTAGGGAAGAGCCGAGGTTGCCGGAGCCAGCCAGACTGCCTGTTGAGATCACAGCCCCACCGCCCAACAGGGTAAGACTTGAGGCATCTTCCTGAATCTACTGTGCCTCAGTTTCCTCATCTGTAAAATGGAAATAATATGTCTGCTATGTTACCAGGTGGTCACTCCAGTGAAATATAAGTAAATATAGACAAGGCACCTAAAAGAAGACTGGACCGTGCAGTTAGTGGTTTTATTTTGTCTGCAAATCTCTCCTATGGTGGCTTTTCTGTGTTTCACAGGATAGTTTGGAGTTTGCACTGTAATACAGTTTTTTTTTTTTTTTTAGTCGAACTCTTGCTCTGTCGCCCAGGCTGGAGTGCAGTGGCATGATCTTGGCTCACTGCAACCTCTGCCTCCCGGGTTCAGGCAATTCTCCTGCCTCAGCCTCCAGAGTAGCTAGGACTGCGGGCTTGCACCACCATGCCCTGCTACATTTTTTTTTTTGTATTTTTAGTAGAGACAGGGTTTCACCATGCTGGCCAGGTTGGTCTCAAACTCCTGACCTCATGATCTGTTCGCCTCATCCTCCCAAAGTGCTGGGATTACAGGCGTAAGCCACCGCACCTGACCTTGTTATATGATTTTCCCACTCATTTCATTTTTTCCCTGATGCCTGAGAAAGGTCTAGCCTCCCTGAAAAAGCCACAGTAATTCTTGAAGTTTGTTAAATTGACCAAAATCAGGCAAATGAGTGGGGGCCTTTGGGCACCCTGGTGACATCATGTAGTGCCACTGGCCAGCTGTGTACTCCAGTGCATGTGAGGCTGATAGGGGCTCTGAGCATGGACCCCCTCAACATCATAGTGGTTCTCAAGGGACTCAAATTTAGCATCAAATCAAAAGAAATCTAGGAAGCAAGACTGCTTGGTAGTTAGACAGTGCTTATTAAATATTACTCTGCATTTAGCATCCTGGTATCTAAGGACCTCTATTGGAGAATATAGTGATCATAATAGTGATTTTTTTTATCATTTTAAATACTATTTCTTTAGCTCTATACGTTTGACACGTAGATTGCAAACACTGAAAGAAGAGTTCTCTTATGTTTCCTTCCAATTTTTAGAAACTGAGGATTTGTGGGCTTGGGGGTGGGGGATGGATGGAGAGAAAAGAATATAGTAACTTTAGTCAAATTGCTCTAAGACAAAGAGTTCCGGTTGATTTCGAATCCCTCCCTCTACCCTGCCTCCAATACTCACGTAGACTTTCTAGACATAGGAACAGAACTGGAGATTTCACCAAATGTGAGGAGCCCTCGCCGAGAGCGGGAAACGCCAGCCCGGCTGGCCCTACTGACTTCCGAAGTGCCGGGAAGACGAGGCCTGGAAGGAGCCCAGCTCCTGGGCTGCTGTGAAGTGAGCAGGATCACAGGCTGCTCTCTCTGGGAGGGCAGCACCCCACTTCACCCTCGAGGGCCCTGAGGAGCCATGAGGAGACCGGGGTGGCAGGTGCGAGCTACTGCCCGAAGTCTCCCATTTAGCCTTTGTGGATTTGCTGAGTGAACTCCAGGGCTGACAGCCTTGGCTTCCTCCTGTCACTGAGAAGCAGGAGCTGGTCAGACTCCTGTGATTAGGGCTGGCAGCCATTCTGTGGGATACCTGCTGCCCGTGGCATGTGCGATCATTGTCGGAGGCGTCATCGGCTGTGTCTTACGTCCCCTTTCCCCTTTTTCTACCTTTCCCGAGTCCAGTGGTAATGGCACATGGTGAGCACCCACAGCTCACCCAAGCTGGCAATTCCAGGTAGGAAGGGACTCAGTCCTGCCTGCTACAAACGTGCACTTGAAGAAAGAAGGAAGTATTCACAGTGATGACCCCAGCGCAGCTCTCCACACCACAGTCACTCCCAGTGTCTACTGCAGCAGCCGTGGGTGGCATCGGTTACCCTGTTGGGCTGGCAGCTTCTCTGGACTTTCCTTCCTCAGTACCTTTAATTCCTCTGTCCTCTCTGGTCACCAGGAGTACCCTCAACCCAACAGTGACGCCACCAGGAAGAATCTGCCAGGAGATGCTTGTTGTTGCAATCTGGTGGCAGAGAGAGGGGTCCTGGGGAACACTTGAATCCCTCTAACCACAAGGACTCACACTGAAGGTGTCTGCTGCCCTCTGAACCCTAGACCTGAAAGGAACCCAGA